CACTCAACCAACTGAGCCACACCGGCCAGGTCTGGATATTATTTCCAATCTTCAACATCTTCTGCAATTACTTGCAAGTTCAACACATCTTTCTTTCTTTTTAAAAAAAATATATTTTATTGATTTTACAGAGAGGAAGGGAGAGAGATAGAGAGTCAGAAACATCAATGAGAGAGAAACATCGATCAGCTGCCTCCTGCACACCCCCCACTGGGGATGCGCCCGCAACCAAGGTACATGCCCTTGACCAGAACCTAACCTGTGACCTTTCAGTTCCCAGGCCGACGCTCTATCCACTGAGCCAAACTGGTTAGGGCTAACACATCTTTCAATATAGCAATCCCAAATTTTTATAAAATTATTTGACAGGCTTAACTATCAAACAAAAAACAAAAGGTGTACATGGTAGTAAATGGATAACAAACATGAGTGAACAATTCATAAAAATGTTTGCAAATATACTTTCACAAAAGTTCAGTGATATATAAGTTAAATCAAGATACCACATTTTTAGCCCAGCTGGCATGGCTCAATAATTGAGCATCTAGGTTGAACCAGGAGGTCACAGTTCAATTCCTGTCAGGGCAACAATCCGAATTGCAGGCTCTATCCTGTGTGGAATGTGCAAGAGGCAGCTGACCTATGATTCTCTCTCATCATCGATGTTTCTATCTCTCTCTCTCCCTCTCCCTTCTTCTCTGAAATCAATGAAAACATATTTAAATAAAAAAAACAGCACAGCCCTAACCGGTTTGGCTCAGTTGGTAGAGCATCGGCCTGCAGACTGAAGGGTCCCAGGTTTGATTCCAGTCAAGGGCATGTACCTTGGTTGCAGGCACATCCCCAGTATGGGGTATGCAGGAGGCAGCTGATCGATGGATGTTTCTCTCTCATCGATGTTTCTAACTCTCTATTCCTCTCCCTTCCTCTCTGTAAAAAATCAATAAAATATATTTGAAAAAAAAAAAAAAGACAGCACAGTTTAGAAAACATTAAATAATATTCCTACCCCTGTGGGAAGCTTACAATATGGAAACAACAGTTATAAGAAAAGTAATAGTTTCCTTGTGGGAGCAATTTTGTATTAACCATCTAAAGCTTTATAAAATATGCTGATATTTTGACTTAGCAATTCCATTAAAAAAACTTACCTCAAAAAACTAAGATAAGGAAATTAAAAATGGCAGCACAGGGAGGGTTCTCTCCATTTGAAATTCTATATGCCAGACCCCCTCCCTTAATTCGGCCAAAAGGAGATTTGGGGAAGTAGGGAACTTAGAAATTCAGAAACAGCTACAAGGACTTGGGAAAACTATCCTTGAAGTCCACAGATGGGTTACTGATTGATTGCCCATCTCTCTAGGAACAGGTGTGCACCCTCACAAGCCTGAGGACCAGGTTTGGATAAAATATTGGAAAAAGGAACCCATACGCCAACCTGGAAGGAACCTTATCTAGTTGTACTAATCACCCCCTCAGCTCTTAAAGTTGCAGGACTGAACACCTGGATCCACCATTCCCGGGGGGGAAAGCAGCCCACCAGCTGGACAATCAAGCATCCAGAGTGGAAGGTGACCTCTGACCTGAACAAGCCCCTGCGGATCATCTTTAAGACGGCGGAGGATCCGTCTAACTGACCTGACTTTGGTATTTCTGAATACGAGTGTTGCCGGATCCCCAGACTAGTACCGGGAGGAGAACTTCTCTGCCCTTGTTACTCCGAACTACTATTATGACCCCCTTGGGGAAGATGATGAAGACTCGGCATGCTACACCCCCCTTTTCGTCGCCCCCCCTTCAGGAAATAGCTAGAGCAGTTCGTGACCTTAGCCCATCCCGAGGGGCCCGCCACAAACCCCATTCTAACTGACTTGGGCGGAGCTACAAAGCCCACCCTGAGGGGACCACAAGAAGATATATATCAAAACCTCCCCACATTTGCCCAGCCAGTTTGGCTCAGTGGATAGAGCGTCGGCCTGCGGACTGAAGGGTCCCAGGTTCCATCCCGGTCAAAGGCACATGCCCAGGTTGGGGGCTTGGTCCCCAGGAGGGGGCATGCAAGAGGAAGCCGATCAAATGATTTTCTCTCATCATGAATGTTTCTATCTCTCTCTCCCTCTCCCTTCCTCTCTGAAATCAATAGAAGTATTTAAAAACAAAAAAACAAAAAACCTCCCCACATTGGCAGTTCAGGCTTTGGATCAAAGTCCCCTGGACCAGCAGTGCTGTGTAAGAAAGGTTTTACTTTCCTAATTCCTCTGAGTGCCGGCTGTCATTCTCCTAGGTCAGTGGCCAGCAAACCGCGGCTCGTAAGCCACATGTGGCTCTTTGGCCCCTTGAGTGTGGCTCTTCCACAAAATACCGACTTCTGCGCATGGGCCATGAAGTTTCAATCGCACTGTATGTGCGCGCCTGCACGTGGTATTTTGTGGAAGAGCCACAGTCAAGGGGCCAAAGAGCCACATGTGGCTCGCGAGCCGCAGTTTGCCGACCACTGAAAAGCACGTGGTATTTTGTGGAAGAGCCACACTCAAGGGGCCAAAGAGCCGCATGTGGCTCGCAAGCCGCGGTTTGCCGACCACGGTCCTAGGTCATTCGCTACAACACTAAGGCCACTCAACCGCTTGCTATGATGTACACTGACCACCAGGGGGCAGTCAACCTGTCACCAGTCGCTATGATGTGCACTGACCACCAGGGGGCAGACGCTTCGACCAGTAGGTTAGCTTGCTGCTGGGGTCAGGCCAGCCAATCAGGACTGAGCGAGACAGGCTGGACATGCCCTGGAGCCCTCCTGTGGTCCCTCCAGCCCCGATTGTGCATTGGTGGGGTTCCTTGGCCTGGCCTATGCCCTCTCACAACCCGTGACCCCTCAGGGGATGTCAGAGAGCTGGTTTCAGCCCAATCCCGTAGGCCAGGACAAGGGACTCCACTGGTGCACGAATTCCAGCCAACAAAAGTCCTGGTCCGGATTGCTTCACAGGGGAGTTTTACCAAACCTTCAAAGGGAACTAAAACCTATCCTCCTCAAACTATTCCAAAAAAATCCATGAGGAAGGAAAACTTCTAAGCTCTTTTTATGAGGCCAGCATTATCCTAATTCCAAAACCAGATAAAGAGACTACAAAGAAATTTACAGGCCAATATCCCTAATGAACCTAGATGCTAAAATCCTCAACAAAATATTAGCAAAACAGATCCAGCAATATATTAAAAAGATCATAAACCATGACCAAATGGGATTTCTTCCAGGTCTGCAAGGCTGGTACAATATTCGCAAATCAATAAATGTGATACATCACATAAACAAATTGAAAGACAAAAATCACATGATCAGCCCTAGCTGGTTTGGCTCAGTGGATAGAGCGTTGGCCTGCAGACAGAAGGGTCCCAGGTTCGATTCCAGCCAAGGGCACATGCCTGGGTTGCGGGCTCGATCCCCAGTAGTGCAGGAGGCAACTGATCAGTGATTCTCTCTCATCATTGATGTTTCTCTCTCTCTCTCTCTTCCTCTCTAAAATCAATAAAAATATATTTAAAAAAAATAAAAATTAAAAAAATCACACGATCATATCAATAGATGCAGGAAAAGCTTTTGACAAAATCAAACACCCTTTTTAAATAAAATCTCTCAGCAAAGCAGAAATAGAGGGAGCATATCTCAACATGATAAAGGCCATATATGACAAATCTACAGCAAACATCATCCTCAATGGGCAAAAACTAAAACCATTTCCCCTAAAAACAGGGATGTCTGTTTTCACAACTCCTTTACAAGATAGTACTGGAAATCCTAGCCAAAGTGATCAGACAAGAAGAAATCAAAGGCATCCATATTGGAAAGGAGAAGTAAAACTATTATTATTTGCAGATTACAGGATATTGTACATAGAAAACCCTAAAGATGCCACCAAAAAAACTACTAGATTTAATAAATGAATTCGGCAATGTAGCAGATAACAAAATCAACACTCAAATATCAGTGGGTGAGCTTCAACCTATGAACAAGGAGGTTATGCTTTGGTTCCTGGTCAGTGCACATGCCCAGATTGCGGGCTCAATTCCCAGTGCAGGAGGCAGCTGATCAATGATTCTCTCTCATTATTGGTGTCTGTCTCTCTCTCCCTTCCTTTCTGACATCAATAAAAATATATTTGTAAAAGAAAAACCCCACGTGTCATGAAAAAGCCACAAAAAGGATTTGCTAAATTTTAAAAAACTACCATTATATCTTAATTTTTTCAGAACAAGACTTTTAAAAGTATAGATCTCTGAATTAAAGCAAGAAACCTTTAAAATTAAGCAATAAAATGATTATTTAAAAATGAAAATCAGAGACAAGCAGTCTCAAAATAAACACATTAAGCAAAAATTGAAATTTCAAGTTACATAATTATAACTCAAATATAAGTCAATTACTACATAATATTACATTATATTCCCCTTCAGTTCAATACATCTTTTTGTTGTGGTTAATCTTCACCCAAGGATATTTTTCCATTGATTTTTAGAGAGAGTAAAAGGGAGGGCGAGGGAGGGAGAGAGAGAGAAACATCAATGTGAGAGGGACTCATCATTTGGTTGCCTACAGGCCAGGGATGGAGTCTGCAATCTAGGTACATGTCCTTGACCAGAATCAAATCCAAAACCTTTCAGTCTGTGGGCTGACGCTCTATCCACTAAGCCAAGCTGGCCAGGGCCAACACACCTTTTTATTCTATGATTTTTACATTAAAATAGACACTAGTAAACAAGGTCAATGGTAATGGTTATGGAGGTTTTCAATTAAACCACTTTAGATGTAAACTACGATAGGTATAATAGATTAAATTTCTGAAAATCACAGACCAAGTAGACTGCAGTTTTATTAAGTAAAATATGCTATCATAACCTGAAAGTCAAGAGAAAGAAAATATTTCACATATAGAACATAAATGAAATGGGTTGTAAAAATAACAGCCAACAGTTTTTTCACTTGGGGTAGATCACTCATGGCTTACCAGGACTATGATGAGTCGCAAGTTCTCCTTTCTGAAATTCATTTCCTGCCACATTCATCCTACCAGGATTAAAAGGTCCTACTGCAGTCTTGGTCTGTGAAGTTAAAGATGGGGTGTATGTTTGTATATTAACACCAAAATTACTTGGCTGAAGTCCTTTAGCGACATCTCCCAAGTTGGTATTCTATAGTGATGCTACAAGTGTAATCATTAAGTTCATATCTTGCCCATAATTCAGAGAGCTTATACCTGTTTCTAAGGTTGTTAACACTAGCAATCTGAATTTCAGAGTCAATTCTGTAGTGATAACACTATTACCCATTCCTACATTTACCTTTCTTCTTGAAAGACTGGAAGTGGAGAAGTCCACATCTTTGGTTCTGTTTTTAGTTCCTGGAAGTCCCCATTCAATAAAACTGAAAGAATTCTTTTTCCCTCCATTTGTTTCTATGTCCTCTTCATCATCAATAATAATAGTCTCACTTATATATCCCTTTTGAGAAGCCAAATCTCTTGAGGGAGGAATTAGGGAATCATTTCCTTGTAGTTTTTCATTTCTTGATGAAGCAAATATAAAATTGTTTTGATCAACTATTGCTGAAGAAGTTGAAGGAGGATGTATAGATTCAATAAACACAACATCATCATCATTGTCTTGCACCGATGAGTTTCTCGATCTATTAACTAAAGTACTAGTTGGATGACCAAATGAATTTCCTACGCCCGTGAGACTAGTTGCCATGGCTTTACTCCCTAATAACACAGAAGTCTGTTCAGTCAAGTCCAATTCTCCCACTGAACATGTGTCTATGACAAAAAAAAACAACAACCTGTAAGAGACAGAAAAAGAAAAAAAAAAGTTATAGTCTATTATTATTGCAAGAACTAGCACAAATGAAATTTTTAATTCTATTCTTATGTGATTTTAATCTAACATTTAGGGAAAAAATTGGTCACCATTCTGTTTATCCTCTTCCATTAATGCTTACTTCTTCACAGTTCGATAAAATTTATACAATTTTTGGTAGTCCCTAAAAAATGTTGTTTTTAATTAAATTTACTGGGGTGACATTGGTAAACATGATCATATAGGTTTCAGGTGTGGGGTTTTATGCTACAAGATCTGTATATTGTACTGTGTGACCACCAACCAAAGTCAAATCTTAAAAGAACATCTACTCAACTAAGAGTAATCCTTCTTTAGCATCAATAGGTTCTGTTACCTTAAGCAAAACACTTAAGGAAACCAATTTTACCATAGGCTAATTGATATAACCATAGGATATAAACAACAGCTGGTTCCTACAGCATCTCATCAATCTTATAATGAAACATTTTTTAAATGTTTTATTAAGCTATTACAAATGTCTTTATCCCCCCATTATCTCCTCATCCCCCCAGTCTTGCCCTCACCTCACCCCCTGTTGTCTGCATCCATCGCTTATGCTTATATGCATGCATACAAGTCCTTTGGTTGACCTCATAATGAAACATTTTTGAGGACCTACTGTACTCAATTACCTACTCACCCTTTATAGGGAAAAAAATACCTGTCTTCCTTTGAAATAAAAAACAGTAACGCCTGTCCAGCGTGACTCAATGATTGAGCGTTGCTCTATGAACCATGAGGTCAGTTCAATTGCTGTTCAGTGCACATGACCGGTTTACAGGCTTGATCCCCAGTGTAGGGCATGCAGGAGGCAGCTGATCAATGATTCTCTCTCATCATTGTTTCTCTCTTTCCCTCTCCGTTCCTCTCTGAAATCAATAAAAATATATATTTTTAAAAAAAGAACAGAAAACAGCAATAAAATAATTTATCAAGTACTAATAATCCACACTCCAAATATAATCAATCTACTATGTATACTATCTGCTAAAATGACTGTCATTGTCCAATCCCTATTTCCCTAGTCTTTTGTCATTTTTTCAAATTCTCTACTTCCAATATAACTATGATTAAATCTTTCTGAATCACTTTTGCCCTTTTGTGCAGTAATCTTCAAACATCATGCTGTGTTTTCTATGTATAATTCTATAAACCCCATGATACAGTGGGGCCTTGACTTACGAGTGTCCCGACTAACGAGTTTTTTGAGATACCAGCTGTCTCTCAGCCGATTTTTTGCATTGAGTTGATAGAGTAATTTGAGTTAACAAGCTCCTTAACGAGCTTGGTCTCGAACGAATTAAACTCATAAGTCAAGGCCCCACTGTATAGACATAATTTAATCAATTTTACAGATCAGAAAAGATAAGCTAACTAAATTGTTTTTGATAAGCTCAAATAGGACTTTAATTCCAGACTCCAAATTCTTAACCACTCTGTTATATTCAACAAACACTTCTTTGTACCTACTACGCACTTGGGTATGATAAAGGAAAGAATCTGGCCTTAGCTGGTTTTGCTCAGTGGACCAGAGGACCAAAAAGTCCCAGGTTCGATCCCGGGTCCTGTCTGGGCGCCATGGATGGCAAATAATCAATGTGTCTCTTTTACCTCGATGGTTCTCTCTTTCTCCTCCACTCCCCACCCTTCTACTCACTCCAAAAGTCAATGGGAAAAATACCCTCTTAAAAACAAAAAGAAAATAAAAAATACCCTCAATTCTCAGGTGAGGATTAAAAAAAAAAAGAATCTGGAGAAGTGAATAATCAATAAAGCGAGGCTCTTGCAAGTTAGATGTGGATATGTGCACAGGTGGCAGTGAAATTGATCTTGAATAGAAATCCCCTCTATTTCAAAGGCCAGAGGGAAAAAAGTAGGCATAACTGGAATATATATTAGTGTAGAAATGATAGGTGGAAAACTTAGGTAAGTTTATCCATGCTGGCCTCAATTTTCTTAGCTAGAAACTCGAGAGTGAAGGAGGTGGGAACTGTATGGGTGTTTAAACATCTCATATTGAAATGCTAAGTAACATTTCTATTCTAAAATTCTCCCAAGTAATTTAATTGATAATAGTTATAGTTATGTAATAGGTGCTATGTCAATAATATATTTAGTTAATGCTTACATAAGGTAGGAACTATTCTTTTTTTCCCACTTTACCCATTAGGAAACTTAAGACTCAGAAGATAAGGAATCCACATGGCCTGTCCAAGTCTCCAATCCTGAGAAGGATAGAGTCAGGATTCAAATCCAAGAAATCTGACTCCAGAATCTATCTCATAACCATTATGTTATATGCAATTAATATATAAAACAATTTTTTAAAATCACTTCTCTTTTATTACAATGAACTAGTTCATTTAAAAAAAAGTTAACATTCAAATAAGTCTATTTCAAAGATGCAGAAATAATGAATCTAAGAGACCAGTATAGAAGGGTTACAAAATAAACACAAAAATTGGGATCATGGTCAACACTTCTTCAGTAAACTTAGTATGTGGTTGATTTTCAAAGGCAAGAGGCAATAATTTAGCCTCAACTGAGTTATGAAATATAAGAACTGTTATATACGAACTCTCTCAGTCCTTTCTTCATTTGAATAAATGTAAAACAGAAAAGAACAATTTCTGGAAAAGAGCTATAGTCAATTGCACAGTAGACTTGTGGCTGCTATGTCCTAGGACCTACCTCAATCTTCTCAATGAAAATACAAAGGACATTCTTTCCTTATGTTCAGCTCACTGCAGTCACCTACCTCTGAAAAAAGTTTAAGCCCTAGCTGGTTTGGCTCAGTGGATAGAGCGTCAGCCTGTGGACTGAAGGGTCCCAGGTTCAATTCCGGTCAAGGGGACATGCCCGGGGTTGCCAGCTCAATCCCCAGTAGGGGGCGTGCAGGAGGCAGCCGATCAATGATTCTCTTTCATCATTAATGTTTCTATCTCCCCTCTCTTTTCCTCTCTGAAATCAATAAAAATATATTTTAAAAAAGGAAAAAAGTTTAAGTATTCACCTATTTTCAAAATCCCAGATAATAAAAAAGTTAACCACTACTAAAAGCCATTGTGTATTTAATTTAACCATCTAACAGTTTCTTAATTCCATAAACATAAGACTACAGAAAAGTTTCTACTATTTCTAAAATATTATTCAAAAACAGAGAAAACATTATGGATTTAATAATTAGCGGTGACACTGAGTTTTAGTTTTCTAAACTGTAAACTAAATGGGGATAATATATGACTCCAAGGGTTTTTTGTTTGTTTGTTTTTTAATATGTTTTATTGATTTTTTACAGAGAGGAAGGGAGAGGGATAGAGAGCTAGAAACATCAATCAGCTGTCTCCTGCACCCCCCTACGCCCCTACTGGGGACTCGCCCGCAACCAAGGCACATGCCCCTGACTGGAATCGAACCTGGGATCCTTCAGTCCGTAGGCCGACGCTCTATCCACCGAGCCAAACCAGTCAGGGCTGACTCCAAGGTTTTTATTGAAATAACTGAACATGCCTGGACCATATGAAAGACTGCAAACAATGTTAAATCATTGTGCATGAGACAGTATTTAGACAAATCTTTGGCCTATATCCTAGGATTTCAACAATTGTCTAATTAATCTTAAACATTTTCATAACTTGTGGTATCTCATTCATCTACAAATTAATGTTTAATTGAATTTAGTTTTGTATGATGCAATGAAAATTAATGTAAAATCAAATAATGTAAAATCAAAGAACAATCTACACAGAGAAGGTTGATACAAAATTTTACTACCACTATACAAAAAGGAAGAAACTGAAGCAGGACTCAAATACAAATCTCTAGTAATGGATAAACCCCTTGCAAAGTTAACAGGATGTCTACTTAGGGGTAAAGATAAAGACTAACAAAATTATACTTAGTTACTTATAGTAACATCTCATCTCCTAGTTGTTTTTATAGGCATGCCTTGGAGATATTGAGGGTTCAGTTACACACCACTGCAATAAAGCAAATATCACAATATTTTTGGCTTCCCAGTGCAAATAAAAGTTATGCTTTCACTGTATAGTAGTCTATTAAGTATGCAACAGCATTATGTCTAAAAAATGTACATAACAATTATATATAAATGTATATATAAAACATAAAACTTGCCATTTTAATCATTTTTAAATGTATATCTTGGTGTCATAGTTTTTTAAAATGTGCTTTTTAAAAGTTGCAAAAAGGCATTCTACCTCCTCGGAGTACACCTGTGCCTTTCCATTCCCTTCCTTTCCCACTCTCCCTCTCCCTTCCTTTCTGAAATCAATAAAAGTATTTTTTAAAAAAATGAACACCAAGTAGATTACTTTCTGGTAACAAGGAAAAAACATTCATTTCATAATGGAAGGATCTGGTGGTCACTATCAATTCAGTGGTCGAGCTCGGAACTATGTATTGTGACAACTAGACTATCTACCTCCTGATGTAATGCTGATTGGGAACCAGAAGGGTACATAAAAATACATTTTCCTTAAATGAAAGACAGACACATACAAAAAATAGTCTTTACATGAACTTTAAAACAAAATAGGAGAGTCAGATTTTGTTAATCCAACAGTAAACAAAAAAAAATGTTTGTATTCATTGGAAAGAAAAAAATATTAAATACAAAACCTGTAATAAAATAGAACTAACTACCTTTAAGTCCTATTTTGGAACTTTAGAGAATATCAGTGGTATTAAGCATCAATGGCACCCACTCCCAGCACTTTCCCAGGTGTTTGCCTGGCAGGGCTCTGGTGACAGGGTCCATCCAAGCAATTAGCTTTTTGCCTTCAAGATAACAGAAAGATAAATCACACAGAACAACATTGTACTATTGCACTCAATGTATGAAACAGAAAAGCAGGGTTAAATTACTCTTAAGGGGGATATTTTCCTTCTTAATTTCTGCCAAAGCGTCACCAGATTGGCCAGAAAGTAATTCCTGGTCCTAGAAGGAGAGAAAAGATGAAAAACGGTTTAGTTACAGCCAACCTGGACGCTGTACAATTCCTACCCTGCAGAGGGACATAGAAGAAAGGCGTTCAGGGCTCTTTTGCCTTCCCCATCCCCCAGTGAAGCAGGGAAACCAGAATTTAAAAACTGGTATCGCACCACCAGACGGAGCTGCGTCTGTTCCCTCAAAGTACAGAATGGGGGGCGGAGGCACCCGGCCAGCTCAAAGGACGCGAGCGGGGCAAACGTTGCTTTGACGCCAGCAAGGGAAATGGAATAATGGCATTACCTCCCAAACGGACCCTCCCGCATCACTCCGGGCGCCCGGGTAGGGGCTGCAGACGTCGCCACAGAGCTGAAATCCCCCACATTGGTCCCGAGCTTTTGCCCTGGGTCCGAGCCTTGCGACCCATCCCCGTCCCGTCCGCCACGAGATTGGGTCCCATTAAGACCTGAAGGGGAGCGCAGAGCAGGCCCTGGAGCGGACGCGGAACGTCGCCCACAAAACTGGGGACCCCAAGCTCTGGCGCAGCCCAGGGAGAGAGGGAGGACCCGGCGCCCCTCCCCAACCGCTCCCCCGACAGAAAGGAAAATGCCAGCGGCGTCACTGCCCGGCGTCCTCACCCGGCCCGCCTGGCCTCGCCCG